ACGGTGGCTGCAGTGATGGGCTCAAGTATAGCAGGGATTGTGGGGCTGGCGCGGGATCGGGCAGTGTTTCATTCTGCTGTGTATGGGGTCGCTATGAGTTGGAAACGACTCGACGGTACTTAAGAACAACAACAACAGGTGTTCAATTAAACAATAGTGAAAATACACTAGAGAGTATTTTTAGAGAGTAAGTAAATGGAAGAAAAACAGAAATAATAAGAATGTTGACACAGTGTGAGGATTTAACCAGTGTCACTGATCACTGTGTCTAGAAACTGTGCAACGAGAGGTTGGCCTTTTTTTTTTTTTTTTTTGATTTGGATGGAAGTTTACATAGCATATTGGTTTCCTGGGAGCAGGTTTTGCTGTGCATGTTTTCACTAAAAATAAAAATAAAAGAAGAAGGAGAATTTCAACAGGGAGAATTTGAAACAGATGCAACAGCATGAAAGACGACATGGAGAGCAGTATAGTTACAGGAGAAGAATATGGTGGCTGAGGGAGAGAGACGAAAGAGCAGCCACTGGAGCGTGAAGACTATTGCTTAACTTGTAAGAAACTAACAAACTAATAATACTAAGTGCCTGACCTTGTTGGATATACCAAGTAGTATCAGAATCTGGTTCCCTGCCTTCAAGGAGTTTACAGTCTAATTACAGAAAAGGGGGCAAGAATATGGCCACAATGAAACAGGATATGACAGAACAAAATACAACTCATAATGTAAGGCAGTAGACAGAACCCACCTTTTATGCTTTAGAAAAAGTGAATGCTAAATCAAAGCCACAATGAGGTACCACTTCACACCTAAGAGAATGGCCACAGGAACCAAAAAAGGAAAGGAAGTGCTGATGGGGATATGGAGAAATCGGCACCTTCAAGCATTGCCAGTGGGAATGTAAAACAGTGCAGCTGCTATGGAAAAGTCTGGCAGTTCCTCAGTTAAGTCAACACAGAGTTACCATCGAGCAATCCCAGGATATACCCCAAAGAACTGAACAGGTGTTCAAACAAAAGCTTGTACATAAATGTTCACAGCATTATTCCTTACAGCCACAGGGTAGAAACAACCCAAATGTCTGTCTACAGATGGACAAAGAAGATGCTGTCTGTATCATTACAACGGAATATTATTTAGCTACAAAAAGGAATGAAGCTCTAAAACATGCCAGAACGTGGATGTATCTCGAAAACAAGATACTAAGTTAAAAAAAAGCCAGACAAAAAAAAGGCCACATATTGCATGACTCCATTTATATGAACTATCCAGAATAAGACAAGGAGCTCTGGTGGTATAGTGGAGAAGGCACCTGACTGCTAACTGGTAGGTCAGTGGTTTAAACCCACCAGCCGCTCCACGGAAGGAAGATGGGGTGATCTACTTCTGTAAAGATTTATAGCCTCAGAAACCCAATGGGGGTGACTATGAGTCAGAAACAACTTGATGGCATTGAGTTTGATTTTTTTTTTTTTAAATCCAGAATAGGCAAATCCACTGAGACAGATAACAGATTAGTGGTTGCCAGGGGCTGGGAGAACGAGGGAATGGGGTTTCTATGTGAGTGATGAACTTTTTAGTTCTAGAACTAAATAGTGGTGGTTGCACATTCTGAATGCTACTTTATAACACTGAACTGTACACTTTAAAATAGTTACAATGGTACATTTTGTTCTGCTTATTTTACCACAGTATTTTTTTTTCCAACTTTTTATTGTGACTCGGGTAAAAGTTAACAGAGCAAATTCGCTTTCCATTCACCAGTTCACACTCATTTTGTTTCACCGTGACACTGGCTGTAATCCACAGAGTCACAGCTCTCTTCCTTCCTGCAGTTACCTTTTCCCTGTGTCCTTTCCTATGCTCTCCTGCCTCATGAGCTACCTCCCCAAGCAAACGCTGACCTTCTGTGCACCTCCCTGGTGTAACTATTCACCCCACAGAGGCCTCTCTTAGTATTTGGCACAATAATTTTTAAACAAGAATGCAGAGCAGAGCAAAAGTAAGGCTCCAACCTTCCAACGCTATCAATTCCATCAAGAGCTTATGCACTGGAGTATTCAGATAAAATAATAATGAAAGTCATAGTAATAGCATCATTCATTGAGCACTGAACATATACCAGGCATTGTTCTAAGGACTTAGCATTTAAGTAACTTGTCTAAGGTCACATGGCTAATAATTAGTGGAGGTGGGATTTTAACCCAGTTTTGTTCCAACATATCCTGTTGCATAAAATTTACATAACAAAATGGCTATCTTCTTTTTGGGACATAAACCTACTAGGAGATGAACATACTTTAAGTTTAAAAGAAGAACTGATTATCAATAGTCCATGTGGTGGTAACAGACTACAGTAATCTTCAATATTTTGTTTGTTACATTTTGACAATCATTAGTTATCTAACAAACAAACAAAAACCTAGACTTTAAAAACCTAGACATAAAGATAGGCATCAGGTGAAATTTCTGATTCACGTTAAGTTGAATACAATCACTGCTTTATTTTAAATCACAGCTTTGACAACCCATAGGTCTATTTGGAAAATAAAAGGTTTAAGGTCTTCCAAAGATCTTGAAGTAATAAACAGATTAATGAGGAAATAAGAAAATGGTAAGGAAGTGGAACAAAAAATCTAAAAGATTCATAACTGAAAAGTGCCTTGCCTTGTGAGGAGTGGGAAAAACATTTTAATTACTCCACAGATTTACAGAGGTCCCACTACACTCAAGGGACTGTGCTAGGGCACTTGGAAACAAATGGTGACAGGCAGATGGCTGGACTCTAACATGGAAACAGTGAAGGATTAAGGAAATTTCCTCTACCTGGGCTGTCTGCGACTTTTACCTCTTAGATAAACAGTTTCAAACTACCTAGAAAAGGCTCTCAAGTGGCTGAAAGACAGTACTGCAATGCTTCATTTCCAGAGCTAAGAATGGCACAGGCTCTTCAGTGGAGATGACACAACGTAATACAAGTTTTAATGTTAGGAGGAAAGATCCAGCAAATTCCTTTTGTTTCAAGTCCTACTGGACATATTTCTAAATGACTTTATTCCACTTTACTGCCTGTACAGGAGAGTCATCACTCCTAAGCTAAGAAACAGGGATCTCTCAGGGCCATACTGCAGGTCAGCAGTCTGTAGAAAACTAAGCTGAATTTTCCTGGCGCAAGAAAATTTTCTTCTTTAACTTTTAGCTGCCGTCAAGCTGATTCTGCCTCATGGAGGCCGCATGTGTGCCGAATGGAGTGTTCCGTAGGGTTTTCACGGCTGTGCCCTCTCAGAAGCAGAGCACCAGGCCTGTCTTATACGGAGCCTCTGGGTAGGTTTGAATTGCCAACCTTTCAGCTAGTCATCAAGTGCTTAGTCATCTGTGCCACTCAGGGACTCTCTTCTCTAATCAGGTGGTTCTCATTTGCCTTGTTTTGTAAAATTTTGAATATAATAAAATATAAATCAGATTAGGTAAAGGCTCAAGTTAACCATTCACTAAGTAAGAGAATGTTTAATGTATCCACTTCACAGCTTACAGTTTCAAGCCTTGGCCAAGTTACCAAATACACAGCTGGTGAGAATTTCCTAGAAATTTCTCTACTACCTTCAGGGAAAGGAGGAAATGACAGGTACAATGAAGCTTCATTCTTAGCTAAGATACATCAGTTTTCACTTTCCTGGGTAGGCTGCCCTGGAAGGCACACCCTTCAAGGAAGAACGGAGAGGTATACTGTGAGCAAATGGTAGGTAGGAAGGAAGTAGAGGTTCAAACGTTCTATGTCTAATGTGTGCTAACTAAACAAGGTAACTTTCAGAACTTCCTTTGAGAAAATTCTCAGTTGCTAATGGAATGGTAATTTCTAATTAAGTCCCTACTGCAATGTTCCTAAACCTTCAATCTTGGTCATTGCCTCCAAGATACACGGAGTACAACAGCTTGATACTTACCTACGCACATTTTGACGTCATTCACGGTGAAGTCTGGGTCTGGCATCCTACAAGACAAACACCAGAGAGCATGAATGGAAAGCGTAGCTTCTGTAGTCAGTCTGAGATCTTTTCTTAAAGTACTAAAACTCCCTTCATCAGACACACTGATCTCCACAGTTAGATAACAAGTATTTTTAAACAAAAGTAATACTCTACGATAAAGTGTCAACACTGGAGATTTCAGGAGATGTAAATTTGTCCTCTTTTTAGCTCATGTGTATTTTCTCATCTACATTCCGACTTGCAGTGACCATACAGGACAGAGTAGAACCACCCAACAGGACTTCCAAGGCTGTCAATCTTTAGGGAAGCAGATTGCCTCATCTTTCTCTCACACAGTAGCTGGTATATTCAAGCTGCCAAACTTTTGGTTAGCAGAGGAGCATTTAACCACTGCACCACCAGGACTCCTACATGAATAAACATGAATTGTTTAACAGAAAAAGAAACATACATATTTCTTAAACTAGGTGGGAAATTATTTTCACTTATCTCCTGCTTTGGGTTATCAATACGGCTACTGTCTAGATATGAGTATAACAGCCATTTCCCAACCACATCCTACCAGGCTGAGGACACTTACTTTATTCCAAGGCCATCAGAATTCTTGAAAATCAAAGGATCTCTCAAGCCACCCCGCTGGATATATTCTACATTAAAATCTGTCATCACAAGGAAACAAGTGTTAGAGAGACAAGAGGTATAGGCGGAAACAGGTAAGAGAACCTATGTATGAAGGTACCAATGGTACTGGGGATGATTCTGTGTACACAGTTGTGCTCCATTCGACAATAAATGCTTGTTACTGAGAAGCAGCTCTTAGGATACAGGAGAGTGAATTGAGAAGTAGGGCCTGAGGGCCCAGTTGCTAGGTCTCTCTTTTCCCAGGAAACTCAGCACTTGATGGGGGGTGTGTGTGTGTTTGTGTGTGTGGAAGGGTGGGGAGGGTAGCAGGGAGGTACTATGATTGACTCACCTCATAAATCCTAAACAGAATTATCATCATGGTCTTTTTCTTATTGGCCAAAAATAATACATTCTGTCCACTGCGATAGATATTGTGACACCCTTGTCAGTTTGCCAAGGAGCAAAGTTATAGGATAAACATGGGATCCTACCTCAGTTCTGGTGGGGTGAGTGTATATACTAAAGTCTTCATGGCATTATTCTTGATTAAACACAAACTGAGAGATGGGAGAAGGAAGAAGCCCTGCTGTTAACTGCTGTGAGCTGCCGCCGAGCCAGCCTCCAGGCCACGGTGACCCCGTGCACGACGGACCGTGACACTGCCTGGTCTTGTACCATCCCCAGGACTGGGCTGCTGTGATCTGTGATCCACAGGGCTTTCACGGGCTTACTTTTCATTCAGAACTAGATTAGCCTTTCTTCCTAGTCGGTCTTAGTCTGGAAGCGCCACTGAAACCTGTTCAGCATCATAGCAACACGCAAACCTCTGCTGACAGATGGGTGGGAGCCGCACCTGAGGTGCACTGGCTAGGAATCAAATGCAGGTCTACTGCATGGAAGGTGAGGATTCTACCACTGAACCACCACTGTCTCCTAACACTACTGTTCCACTCTAAGAAAGCTTACTTCCAATATGGCAGAGAATGAATGAAAAGGGGGCAGGGTGGAGGTGAGGGGGCGGCAGGTAGCAAGGAAAAAATAAAGGTTGAGAGCATCAACAGGTCACATTTTAGCGGCAAAGATAATGAGCCCACATCCCACAGTCTGTTGCTGTGTCACTGAGTCGATTCCAACTCACAGCGACCCTACAGGAGAGAGCAGAACTGTCCCACAGGGTTGTCTAGGCTGCAATCTTTATGGGAGCAGATCACCAGTCTCTTCTACTACAGAATAACTGGTGGATCTGAACTGCCAACCTTTCAGTTGGCATCCAAGCACTTAACCACTGTGGTAGCAACCAGAGTCTACCCTTTCCCGATCAAGGGGCTGCAGGTCTGAACCCAGGTGATACTGACCTTTTCCTTCCATGAAAGTAACAAAATTGGCATTGTATTTGTTGGTGTGGAGCTTCTCTTCCAAGTCAAAGGTCCTCTTCCCTTCAATTTCGTCATCTGAGATGCCGTCGTCCTCGTAGCGCCGCCGCATGGTGCCGCGCTGGGGAGAGAGGGGTGTGAGGTGCAGCCGCGGGCTTTGCCTGGCCTGTCTAGACATAGTCACAGTTTCCCCTACAGGTGCCAAGTGCTACTTTCAACTTCAGATGCTATGTTAACCATCAATTTTTGTTGCCTTACGGAACTTTTCTCTCTACTAAAGGTCAGTTGATGTCTCCAGAACAGTGACCATCAAAAAGTCTTAGTGAACCACTGGGTTCCTCCCTTGTGAATTGGCCTGTGCTCTCAGACATAAATTCATGACAAAAATATGAGCAGAGAGGGTCTAGGAAACATTTTATTTGCCTATCAGAGTAAGGACAAACTGACTTTATGAACACTTCAAGCCAGGATAAATATATAATTTTTTCATAGGGGAAAGCAATGATCAGCTAGATCAACTTCCTAAAACCACTTTCAAGAATAAACCAAAACATTTAAATTAATAGATCAAAAACTCTGTCACCTCAGCTGAAGGAAGAAAGGTTACCTCAAAAGCAGCACTCCTCACAGCAGGCCTTCACTATTTAACCTGATAGAAAACATCTCTCCAAAGAGACAGACAAATGGCCAATAAGCAATGAACAGATGCTGGACATCCTTAGCTGTTGTTAGTTGTCATAGAGTCCACTCCGACTCATGGCGACCCCATGTGTGCAGAGCAGAACTGCCCCACAGGGTTTTCAAGGCAGATCACCAGGCTCGTCTTCTGAGGTGCCCCTGGGTGGGTGTGAACCACCACCCTCTCAGTCAGCAGTTCAACACTAGTAGTTGGATAAGAAGTTCTAGTAGTGTAATCATTAAGTCCTTAGCTGCTAACCCAAAGGTCGGCAGTTTAAACCTACTAGCTTTTCCATGGGAGAAAACACCTGGTGATCTGTTCCTGTCAAGACCGAGGCTGAGGAAATTCTAAGGGGAGCAGCTCTACCTGTCCCACAGAGTCACCACGAATTTGAATTGACTCAGCATCTAACAACAGTAGTTGATAGGAAATTCAAATCAAAACCACAATGAGATACCACTTCACACCCACTAGGATGGCTATGATAAAAAATTCAGATAATTTTAAGTGTTACTGAGGATGTAGAGGAATAGGATCCCTTGTACACTGCTGGAAGGAACGTAAAATGGTGCAGCCCCTTTGGAAAACAATCTAGCAGCTCATTAAAAAGTTACACAGAGTTACATAGCGCCCAGTAATCCCATCCCTAGGCACACAGGGCGTCTTTAAGTCGAATTTCTAGATAAGTCTGAAGCTGCATATGGTTCTTATTTAGCCTTGCTTTAGTACAAGAAAAGGCTCAATGCCCTTTCAGTGGATTTAAAAGCTGCACGTGCAGCAAGTGAAGGAGACATGAGGACAATTTTGCTTGTGAGTAGGAGCTGACTCAACCTCCCAAAGTGAGGGCAAATTTACGTAATGTTAAAGGGCAAGTACGAGCTGGCCCTAAATCAGAGCTTCATAACCTGATGACTTACTGGACACCCAGAAGAACCGAAAACACATGTCCACAGAGACTTGTACACAGATGTTCGTAAGAGCCTAACTCATAATATGCAAAAGGTAGAAGCGAGCCAAATCACAGCCAACCACCCCGAGGGAGTGAGCAGTCGGACCTGTGGGATCAGGACCATGGTTGCAGGAGACATCAAGCTCAACTGGCATAACATACTACACAAAAACATTATTCTACATCCTACTTTGATGAGTAGCGACTGGGGTCTTAAAAGCTTGCCAGGGCCATCTAGATGCAACTAAGGGTCTCTCCTCATCCATAACAAAGAATGAAGAAAACCAAAGACTCATGGAGACAATTAGTCCAAGTGACTAGTGCGCGATCCTTAGCCTATATGACTATGAGACCAAAAGAACCAAATGGTGCCCAGCTACAGCTGTCAACCACTTGGAAAGGGATCAGTGCAGGAGATAATGCGTAGAGTAGGAGAACAATGTGGAACAAAACTCAAAATCATTAAAAAAAAAAAAAAAGAGAGAGAGAGAGCAGGCTTACGGTCTGGTAGAGCCTAGTGAGCCCCAAGAGTATGGCCCCTAGTTACCCTTCAGGTCTGGAACTGAACTCACTCCTGTAGTTTCCAGCCAAACAACAGACAGGCATATAGGGTGAACATTTACGTCAGGTAGATACACTCCTTAGAACGATCCATCAAGGGAGAACAGAAGGGCTGTATTTGCATAGGGAAAAAGCTTGAAGGGAGCAGGAATATATAGGAAGGAAGGACACAGGGAAGAGGTAACTACAAGGAGGAAGTAGGAAGTTACACTGTGGGGAACTGCAATCAATGTCATGAAACAAAATGTGTATGAACTGCTGTATGGAAGATGAATTTGCTCTGTAAACTTTCACCCAGATCACAATAATTTTTTTTTTAATTTAAAAAAACAAAACCTAATTACCAAGAACAACAACAAAAAAAGAAGCAAACCAAATGTCTATCCATAAATAGATTAACAAAACATAGTGGTAGCATAGTGCTTAAGACACTTGACTGTAACCAGAAGGCTGGCGGTTCAAACACACCAGCCACCCCTCAGAAGGAAGACTGAGCAATCTACCTCCATAGTGATACTGCCTCGGCAACCCAAGGAGGGGTCACTATGAGTCAGGTCTGGCTCGAGGGCACACAACAACAACAACAAGTACATCCATACAAGATCATATTCTTTGGCCATAAAAAGAATGAAGTACTGTTACATGGTATAACATGGATGAAAATATTATGCAATATGAAAGAAGCCAAACACAGAAGGTCACATATTATATGATTTCTCTATGTCAAATATCCAGAATAGGCAAATCCATATAGACAGAAAGGAGATGAGTGGTCCCAGGAGCTGGGGTGGGGCGTAGGGAGTGACTGCTAATGGTTTGGGTTTCTTTCTGGGGTGATGAAAATGTTCTAGAATTAGACAGTGATGATATAAAACTCTTAAAACTCTGTGACTATACTAAAAAACATTAAACTGTATACTTTAAATGGATAAATTTTATGGCATATGTATTACATCTCAATAAGCTTTTTTTTTTTTTTTTTTTTAACATTGCTTATGCTTCAAATTTATCCTTTAATATATTTTACTTTAGCCAGTAATGAAATCTGCTGAAACTTCTTGACTACACAACCCTGGGACACTCGAGGGGGGAATAAATGGTGGTGGCAAGATATATGGATTGAATTATGTCCCCCCAAAATATGTGTTGTAAATCTTAACCTCTATGCCTGTGATTATAATTCCATTTTGGAATGGGCTGTCTTTGTTGTGTCAATGAGGCAGTGTAGGGTCTATCTTGAGTCAATCTCTTTTGAGATATCAAAGAAATTAAACAAGTGAGAGATGGGGGAGACAGATGCCATGATACATGGAGATCTCCAAGGAACCAGGAAGCAGACACTGAAGAGACAAGGACTTTCCTGCAGAGGGAGAAAGCCTTCCTCTAGGGCTGACACTGAATTTGGACTTCTAGCCTCTAAACTGTAAGAAAATAAATCTGTTTGTTAAAGCCATCCACTTTTATTTCTGTCATAGCAGCACCCAAGAACTAAGAAGTGAGGGTAAAAAAGTCCTATCCTGTGTAAGCTGAGAACAACCAAAGGTGAAATTTAAATCTGGAACTGATTATATAGCACCACAGTTTACATAAATACACAGGAAAATGAGGCACTGGAGAAAGATCTCTTAGGGAGTAGGGTCAGGGAATGGGCAGAAATAAGCCACAGAAAATAAAAATTACAGGAAAGAAATTTGATTGTTAACACAGTAGAGGGGGGCAAGGTACAACTGGATCCTTCAGTTTTAGGCAGAAGCACTGAGGATACTAGCTGTCATTGCCCTATTTGGCAGAAAGCCTTACCACACTCTTACCTGGCACCTCTGCGGCCATCACTCATAGTGTGAAGGCCAAAATGGAGACTCAGTTTTGGCAGACGTTTTATTTACTCAAACAATGCCGTCACTGCTCAAAATATTTTTAGATAAATACTCATTTTTAGATACTCATTTGCAGTATAAACTCTAATATGCTTGTCAAAAAAACCCAGTCATGTTTTTAAACCTCAATCTTTCCCGATTAGCATTACTGATCCTGCTTCACTTGGGAGAAAATAAGCATCCTAATTATCCCAACATTTGCAACATGGTAGCAAGAAGTTAAGGAGCCCTGGTGGCACAACAGCAGCTGAGCACTTGGCTGCTAATCAAAAGGTCACTGGCTCAGATCTACCCACCTGCTGCTCAGGAGAAAGACCTGGGAATCTGCTCCTGTGAAGATTACAGCCTAGAAAACCCTATGGACAGCTCTGCTCTATCACACGGCATTGCCATGAGTTGAAAATCAACTTGATGGCATCTAACAATACTAAGAAGTTTCTCTACCTTTTCTTCTTACATGCCTTCCTTCTGCCTACATTCAAGAATTCTCCCATTTACACTTTCTGTTCAGAAAGGTTAGCTATGAGTGCGATCAACGTGACGGCAATGGGTCTGGCTTAAATACAGAAGGGCTAAGTTTACAGGGAAGGCTTCTGCTCCTCCCAAGCAATGGCTAATTTCTTAAAAACAACAGAGAAATGAATCTGAATTCTTGCTTTCTTTTTGATTGCTGCAACTGAGAAGTCAGCAATAATGTGAAAATTACTGTGTCAGTTGTAACACTGATGAAAGAAAACATCTACAGGACACCTCCTAAGTGCTTTAAAAACATACTCAATTCTTAGCAGAACCCTAGAGATCAGCAGGCAGCAACACAAGCTCTGTCAAAGGTGAAACCCAAAAGACAAGGGCACCTCAATACTAAGGAAAGCATCGGCAATCTCTCCAGTCCACCACCATTACCAAGTAACTCGTATTGGTTCATTGGCTTGTTAGGCTTTTTATTAGTGGTGCACTTCACACAGAAACTTAAGTTTTGGCCTCCCCCAGAATCCTACCTTCACCTGCCCAGTGCCACAGTAAGTAGCAGGTACAAACTGAATACTGAA